TTTTTTTATAAGTGAAAGAAAACGAAATTTCTGTCCCAAAATGAGAGAGAAAAATATTGTAAAAGAGACTATCTGGTTCTTTTTGAGTTTTGTTTTATGTCCGTAGAAGAGAAATAAAGTACGAGAATAATATGTTCTGTTGATTGCTTGAAGACTAATAATCCCACTTTATACAGGAATAGGTTTCTTAGAAGAATTTCGTCTCTTGATAGAATCACTTTTTGAGGCAGAATTAAGCGCGGATTTCGTTGAAACTCTTGATGCTGATCTTCGCGGAGTCGAAGAAGCAGGTCGTTTATTTTTCTTCACTGAGCTGACAGCTCCGCCAATGGTATTTTTATCTAAATTGAATGGGATAAATGTAGATGTAATTTTCATAAACTTGCTAACTCTCACCATTGTGAGATGGTGTAGACAACGCAGCAATCTTCGGTGTAGTATTGTTTGCGTCTTTTTTTGGTTGTTTCGTCCTTTGATCATCACTAGCAGTAGTTTTTATTGTTCGTGATGCTTCAGGAGTTTCGAATTTTCTCTTTCTCAAAAAGTAGGATGCCATTGATGGCGAGATGTGACTGGGCTTTCTCAGCGTTTTCCTGTCGGAACTACTTCTCGATGAAAAGCAGGTAGTTATCTCTTCACTCATATTACCCTTACAGGGGCTAGACACCTCAGCAGCGCGGTTCTCTTGAGAATCACCTTTGTCGTCTTTGCTACTGTTCAAGGAAGAAGATATGAGATGATATGCCTCCGAATGAACTTTCCGCACTGGCGTATTTTCCATAGACTTAAGAGCAAAAATACGACTGGACTTCTTCCTCAGCCCTATTACCTCATCAGCTGCCTCGGGGCGAGATGGTGTTGGGCGATATTCGCATCGCCGCTCAATATTTACATTTGGGATAGATGTTTTTTGCACATCATCTCTTTGACGGTTTGCACTAGTGGGAGAGGCAAGTTTTACTGATTCGCCCAATATTTTGCTCCCAAATCCTTCTTTCTGGAATTGGTCAGCAGAGGTAGATGTCCTAGAAACATTTCCACCTCGACTTTCTCTATCATCTCTTAGATTTTGCACTCCATCTTGAGAAGAATTTGATGACAACGCTAACGAAGCTGTAATTAAAGACCTAAGCACTTTTTATGCCTCTCTAATATCTAAAAAAAAGTTGTAACGACAAAAATTACCTGAATGAAGGCTAGAGTTCGAGCGTAATACTGATGTCTCCATCACACGATTCCACATTTCAATAGGATCTTCTTCTTCACCTTCAAAGACAAGTAAAAATTCTAAAATCAAAAAAAA